AATAAAATCAGAAAAAAATAATAATCTCAGTCTTAAGTAAATCATAGAGTACGTGCCATCAGGTACAACGCCGGTAAATTCACCGGCGTAACAACTCCTTTCACCCCCCCCTTTTCCCCCCCTTGCAGTCTTAGCTACTCCTCGTCGCTGGAGCCGGACTCGGTGCTGGAGAGGTCGGTGGCCACCTGCGTCCGCTGGAAGGAGTAGCCGGCCTCACGCTCCGAAGACCTGCGAATCCGAATGTGAAGTAAAATTTAAATTTTACAGCGTGAAAAAGATCAGCTACAGGGCTAAACGATGGCTAAATTGGGGATAACTTATTATTGAACTTCTGCAGCTAAAAATTTACTCATGTCACAGAATGTCGATTTCTAGCAAAAAAAATAGTAAAAATTTAGGTGTGTAGCCAAAAGTTTAGCTATGTTCTGCTGCATAGCTAGACAGCTAAATGATTAGCTATCCCTTATTTAGCTATTGGTTTTATCTATCAGCTAATATTTTTCCGGGTCAGCCCGCATGTTTGAGGGTGCTCGCGCGGTTACCTGCTGGCCGGGGCGGCGGCAGCGGGGTCGCAGAGGACGCGCAGGTTGGGGAGGCCGCGGCGCAGGCGGCGCAGCACCCCCGGCGGCACCCCGCGCCCTCCGAAGCAGCCGCGCACGTCGAGCAGCTGCAGGTGTGGCAGGTGGCGCGGCATCGCCTGGAGGTGGCGCAGGCCCAGCGTGGCGCAGCCGCGCAGCTGCAGGCGGCGCAGCTGGCGTAGGCCGCGCACCAGCTCGGACAGGCCGTGCGGGTCCAGCCAGGTGCCCGTCGACAGCCGCAGCGTCTCGAGGCGGCCGCAGCTCGCCGCCAGCGCGGGCGCCATGCTATTGCTGTAGTCGCTCACGTCCTCCAGGATCAGCTCCTATGCGCACCCAGAATAACGGTTAGTTGCAGCTCGCGGAGTTGCAAACGTACGCAGTTTCGAATGATTGAGGAGAACTTTTCTCCGCCCCCTCAACCCTCCCTCCATTTTACTCATCGATAGGGTATGATATAATACCCTACCATTAAAATTCTATCCAGGGCACTCATTTATAACGGTATCTTTTTCTGAATTTTCTGAGCATATTACGATGCGTCCTTAAAATCCCCCTCTCCCCTAGAAAATTACATCCCCGAACAATTGCAGCATTTTCATACTGTCATTTACAGTGGCAGAAATGATATAAACGGATCGACGTCGACTTTGTCCCCCCAAATTGTTTTTGCCACTTAAATCGAGGTATCGACTTTGAATCGGATATCGGCTTCGATGCAATTTTCATTTCTATCATTGCTGTGTCCTCCTGCACCTTGATGGCTCCGAAGCGCGGGCAGCTGCGCATGAAAGCGGCCACGTCGTGCTGCATGGCGATGAGGTCCTCCCGCCGGCCCACGCCCTGGATGTGCAGCGCCTCCAGGCTCTCGAGGGCCTCGATGACGCTCAGCGTGGCCAGCGGCGTCGTGATGGACCGCAGCGCCTGCAGCTGGGGAAGCACACACACACACACACTGGGGATGAGAAGATGAACTTATCCGTACAGTCGCCCAAACACCACAAATTCTTTTCAGTGACAATCTCTGTACTGTGATCAAACATTTGAAATTTTGGCCACGGTCGTTTGATGTGATGTAGAGAAGTCACAAAAATCGACTACCGTCGCCAAAATTTTTAATTTTGATCACAGTAAAGAGTTTGTCTTGTCGCTGGAAACTTATTTGAATGTGCGGCGTGCGCCACATCGTTTGGATTGGAGGTCTGCAGTGCAGGTGTGTGAAATATTGCAATGAATAGTCCCGCGGATTTCTCCCGTCTAAAAGACTTGACGTTGTCACCGTTGTCCACCCGCCAGTTCGCCGGAACAAACAAACCGCCCCGCCCAAGGTGGCCCCGCCGCCCCGCCGGGACCGCCGCGATACGAGCGCTCCGCGCGGCCACCGGTTGAGTTGAACAACGTCAACGATCAACGGCATCTGCCGAGGGCGTGAATGTTGTTGTGTGATGAAATTCAACTTGTATGTAAGTAATTCATGTCAATTTGGCAGTTCTGACACAGGTTCGAAGGTCCAAAGAACATCTCAACCCGTTTGTTTCGATCTAAACTAGTTTAAGTTTGGCCCGGGTCGAAACTGACACTCTAACCTCTTTCTTTGCTAGTGTTGTGAGTGTTGAAAGTTGTGCGAACGTTGACCGTCTCTCTTCCTGAAATACTAAATTGTTTATCTCGCATCCGACTTTGAGATGTGCTTTGTCACATTTACCAGATTTTACGGTATTTTAATTTTTATCTCTGTATGTCGGTCGAGTCATTACCTTCGTTTAACCTCCCAAGAAGAGGCGCCCAGTGTTGCCTTAGACGGAATTCTAATTTTAAAATGTAATGAGTGAAACCTAATGTCATAACATTATATATCTAACTAGTTTTAAACAATGTGGAA